GCTGCGCCCGCTCCTCCCCAGCGCGGGGGGCGGCGTGGATTTCGTAGTCGGGGTTTCTGCCTCCTCCAGCCCTGTTTGCATGCGCGGGGCCGCGGCCGGGAGCCTCTGCCCCCCACCCGGTGGTTTTTCTGCGCCTGCCGCTGCACGGCGGCGGTGGCAGCCGCAGCATGGCGAGCCCTCCGGAGACCGACGGCTTCTCGGACGTGCGCAAGGTGGGCTACCTGCGCAAACCCAAGAGCATGCACAAGCGCTTCTTCGTGCTGCGGGCGGCCAGCGAGGCGGGGGGCCCGGCGCGCCTCGAGTACTATGAGAACGAGAAGAAGTGGCGGCACAAGTCGAGCGCCCCCAAACGCTCGATCCCCCTCGAGAGCTGTTTCAACATCAACAAGCGGGCGGACTCCAAGAACAAGCACCTGGTGGCCCTCTACACCCGGGACGAGCACTTTGCCATCGCGGCAGACAGCGAGGCTGAGCAGGACAGCTGGTACCAGGCCCTCCTCCAGCTGCACAACCGTGCCAAGGGCCACCACGACGGGGCCTCTGCCCTTGGGGCAGGAGGTGGCGGGAGCAGCTGCAGTGGCAGCTCGGGCCTTGGCGAGGCTGGGGAGGACTTGAGCTACGGGGACGGGCCCCCAGGACCCGCGTTCAAGGAGGTCTGGCAAGTGATCCTGAAGCCCAAGGGCCTGGGTCAGACAAAGAACCTGATTGGCATCTACCGCCTCTGCCTGACCAGCAAGACCATCAGCTTCGTGAAGCTGAACTCAGAGGCGGCGGCCGTGGTGCTGCAACTGATGAACATCCGGCGCTGTGGCCACTCAGAGAACTTCTTCTTCATCGAAGTGGGCCGTTCCGCAGTGACAGGACCTGGGGAGTTCTGGATGCAGGTGGATGACTCGGTGGTGGCCCAGAACATGCACGAGACAATCCTGGAGGCCATGCGAGCCATGAGCGATGAGTTCCGCCCTCGCAGCAAAAGCCAGTCCTCCTCCAACTGCTCCAACCCCATTACTGTCCCCCTGCGCAGGCATCACCTCAACAACCCGCCGCCTAGCCAGGTGGGGCTGACCCGCCGCTCGCGCACCGAGAGCATCACCGCCACCTCTCCCGCCAGCATGGTGGGCGGGAAGCAGGGCTCCTTCCGTGTCCGCGCCTCCAGCGATGGCGAAGGCACCATGTCCCGCCCGGCTTCGGTGGACGGCAGCCCCGTGAGTCCCAGCACCAACAGGACCCACGCCCACCGGCATCGGGGCAGCTCCCGGCTGCACCCCCCGCTCAACCACAGCCGTTCCATCCCCATGCCTTCTTCTCGCTGCTCGCCTTCGGCCACGAGCCCGGTCAGCCTGTCGTCTAGCAGCACCAGTGGCCACGGCTCCACCTCTGACTGCCTGTTCCCGCGGAGATCTAGTGCTTCTGTGTCGGGTTCCCCCAGCGATGGCGGTTTCATCTCTTCGGATGAATATGGCTCCAGTCCCTGCGATTTCCGAAGTTCCTTCCGCAGTGTCACCCCGGATTCCCTGGGCCACACTCCACCCGCCCGCGGAGAGGAAGAGCTGAGCAACTACATCTGCATGGGAGGCAAGGGGGCCTCCACTCTTACCGCCCCCAATGGGCACTACATTTTGCCTCGGGGTGGCAACGGTCACCGTTACATCCCAGGAGCCGGCTTGGGCATGAGCCCTGCCCTGGCTGGCGATGAAGCAGCCAGTGCTGCAGATCTGGATAACCGGTTCCGAAAGCGGACTCACTCTGCGGGTACATCTCCCACCATTTCCCACCAGAAGACCCCATCCCAGTCCTCCGTGGCTTCCATTGAGGAATATACAGAGATGATGCCTGCCTACCCGCCAGGAGGTGGCAGTGGAGGCCGGCTACCGGGGTACCGGCACTCCGCCTTCGTGCCCACCCAGTCCTACCCGGAGGAGGGTCTGGAAGGGCACCCCTTGGAGCGCCGTGGAGGCCACAACCGCCCAGACACCTCCACTCTCCACACTGATGATGGCTACATGCCGATGTCCCCAGGAGTGGCCCCAGTGCCCAGCAGCCGAAAAGGCAGTGGGGACTACATGCCCATGAGCCCCAAGAGTGTGTCTGCCCCGCAGCAGATCGTCAGACGCCATCCCCAGAGAGTGGATCCCAACGGCTACATGATGATGTCCCCGAGTGGCAGCTGCTCCCCTGACATTGGCGGTGGGCCCAGCAGCAGCAGCAGCAGCAGCGCCGCCCCTTCTGGGAGTAGTTATGGGAAGCCGTGGACTAATGGGGTAGGGGGCCACCACTCCCACGCCCCGCCGCACCCGAAACTACCCGCGGAGAGCAGCGGTAGCAAGCTCTTGTCTTGTACAGGTGACTACATGAACATGTCGCCAGTGGGAGACTCCAATACCAGCAGCCCCTCTGACTGCTACTATGGCCCTGAGGACCCCCAGCACAAGCCAGTTCTCTCCTACTACTCATTGCCAAGGTCCTTTAAGCACACCCAGCGCCCCGGGGAGCTGGAGGAGACTGCCCGGCACCAGCACCTCCGTCTTTCCTCCAGCTCTGGTCGCCTTCTCTATGCTGCAGCAGCCGAAGACTCCTCTTCCTCCACCAGCAGCGACAGTCTGGGCGGGGGACACTGCGGGGCAAGGCCTGAGCCCGGCCTCCCGCATCATCTCCACCATCAGGTCCTGCAGTCCCATCTGCCTCGAAAGGTGGACACGGCTGCGCAGACCAACAGCCGCCTGGCTCGGCCCACCAGACTGTCCCTGGGGGACCCCAAGGCCAGCACCTTACCTCGGGCCCGAGAGCAGCAGCAGCGGCCAGCCCTGCTGCACCCTCCGGAGCCCAAGAGCCCAGGGGAATATGTGAATATCGAATTTGGGTGTGATCAGCCAGGCTACTTATGTGGCCCCGTGGCATCCCACAGCTCGCCTTCCATCAGGTGTCCATCCCAGCTCCAGCCAGCTCCCAAAGAGGAAGAGACTGGCACTGAAGAGTATATGAACATGGACCTGGGGCCGGGCCGGAGGGCCACCTGGCAGGAGAGCCCTGGGGTCCAGCCTGGCAGAGTGGGCCCTGCACCTCCAGGGACTGCTAACATGTCCAGGCCGACCCGGGCAGTGCCTAGCGGCCGGGGTGACTACATGACCGTGCAGGTGGGTCGTCCCCGGCAGAGCTATGTGGACACCTCTCCAGTTGCCCCTGTCAGCTATGCTGACATTCGGACGGGCATCGTGGAGGAGGCCAGGCTTCCTGGGGCCCCAGCGGCTGCCCCCTCCTCATCCTCAGCAGCCCCTGCTTCACCCACTGTGCCTCAAGGAGCGGGGGAGCCGGAGGCTCGCTCTTCCCTGCTGGGGGGCCCGCAGGGACCCGGGGGCATGAGCGCCTTCACCAGGGTGAACCTTAGTCCCAGCTGCAACCAGAGTGCCAAAGTGATCCGCGCAGACCCACAAGCGTGCCGGAGGCGGCACAGCTCCGAGACCTTCTCCTCTACTCCTAATGCCACCAGGGCGGGCAACACGGTGCCCTTCGGAGGGGGGGCTGCAGTCGGGGGCACCGGTGGTGGCAGCGGCAGCAGCACTGAGGACGTGAAACGCCACAGCTCTGCTTCCTTTGAGAATGTGTGGCTGAGGCCTGGGGAGCTTGGGGGAGCCCCCAAGGAGCCGGCTCAGGTGTGTGGGACTGCGGGGGGTTTGGAGAATGGTCTCAACTACATAGACCTGGATTTGGTCAAGGACGTCAAACAGCGCCCTCAGGAGCGCCCCCCTCAATCGCAGCCTCCCGCACCCCCGCCCCAGCATCAGCCAATGGGCAGCAGTGAGAGCAGTTCCACCAACCGCTCCAGTGAGGATGTAAGCGCCTATGCCAGCATCAGCTTCCAGAAGCAGCCAGAGGACCTCCAGTAGCTCAACTGGACACCACACACAGCAGGTGCGTTTCATGGTGACAGTCAGAGGACAAAACCGCTTTTCACCTTGTGCTTGATTTCTCTTCCTCTTTGCCTCTGCCCCTTCCCTATCATTCCCACTGCTTCCTTAGGGAGTCCACTCACTGGAGGAGGGGAGGTCAGGGCACACAAGATGCTCACCCCACAGTCACACCTGCATGATAGTCAAATAAACCTGTAGGAGCAGCCACACGGGAGGGAAGCCTGTTTTATTTGAAGTTCCCAAGGGAAGTACTTACGGTAGTGTTTTCAAAACATATTCTCTTAAACCAGTTCTGAGATTTGTGGAGTTCAGATATAAGAACCTTGGTCTCTTTATTGAAGTTTACTTTTGACACTATATTTAGGTTACTCCCTGGAAGGGACAATTCTTCTACAAAAATATTTGTTACAACGGGCTGAGACCTTCATTTAAGGCAATTTCTCAGAGCTCTGAGGTTGATCACGATAAGTCGCTCTGTGTACTTTAGTTCTGTGATTTCACAATATCAAAGGCAGCCTAAGTAGCAGTGGGAGACGTCGATTTTTATTTGCATTTCCCTAAAACGATTCAGGAGCAAGAGCTTGTTTAGGCTTATGCATTTAGAGAGAAATACCTGTCTACGACTCTTTAGAATATAGGGGCGATGCTTCCTTTTTGTTCCTGGACCAGGATTTGTGAAGTACGCGCACACGCCAGCCCACCACCTCGCAGGCATGACTGCTTTTGTACAGGATATGCGGTGAAATCTGCATGTGTCTGGGACTCATTATTAGTTAAGAGTTATGGAAATTCACCCCTGTGTGTCTGCTTCACAGTTGTCTGCTCCTGCACGGGCCTGCACAGAGACTTCACACACATCATCTGGGGAGGGGGGGGGCAGGGGAGGGGGCTACTCTGCATCTTCTGTAAAATTACTTCATATTTTTATGTTGAAAGACGGAATATTAAATCAGGGAAATGGAGGGGTTTGGTTTTTGCTTCACATTGAACGTAAGGGCTAAACCCTGTACTCTTCATTTTTAGGATATTTATTGTTTGCCTTTAAGTTCAAGAATAGATGCCTCAGTAAATGTTGAAAGTTGGCTTTCAGTCTTCTGTGGTTAATGCTGTGTTGAAAATGAAAAACATTTGTAATAGGAAATTAGCCTGCCCTTCGTTCTATTGAGCCTGTGTTCTGGTGGTCATAATTGTGGGAAGAAAGGAGTATAGTTTGCAAATAATGTGATGAGTTGGCAATGCAGAAGTTTCCAGCATTTGGAAACACTTTATTCTGACAAACTGTTTATCTTGTGATGGTCTTTTTAAAATGTGCTTCACAGAATGAGCTTTTAAAAGCATTCTTCTTCTTAATATATGTCCGTTCATAAGAAATTAATTTCTACATTGGGTTCCTGTTGATAAATACTTGTTGATTATGTGGTCCCAGCCTCTTAGATTTGAATAGTTTCCAGTATTTGATCCATGTCCTTCTCTATTTTGTAGAACAAGGTGTAGGTGTATGAATAAACTAATATTTTAGGTGATAGGATATATTATAAAAAGTATTTATTTGATCAATATTCAGCACTTATTTTTATGATTCACTAGAAGATTTTGTGTTTATCAACATGAACAGTAAAACTTTTGGTTATTTCAAAGATGTTTTGGAGAATGTGAGTTCCTCTAACACTTTAGTCATTTGTGATACAAAGTCTTCATTTATAAATAATAACAATTTGAAGGGGGGAAAACCCCAGCAGAACTTAAATTTGGTTTTAAAGGAGATGAAGGAAGAGGCTAAGAAACAATACATTTTCCTTACCCGTTTTCTTAATTCAAACAGGTTTCTTTTTATAGAATAAATAATATTTCCTCTGAAGGAAATTGATGACCAAATAGCTTTTGTCTTTCAAAAGGAGTTAAAATCCTCCTTGTGTGGAAGATACATTAAAAACCAACCAACCAAAACAATTCTTCTATTTTTAATTTTCTTAGGAAAAAAAAATATTATTGACTAATCATACAATCATATCCCTAATAATCTCGGAGTAGCAGTAGACCACGCTTTAACATCACCATGCCAGAAAAGTCTACATTTATTGGTAAGATGTAAATACAGCAAGATGAGGAGGGGGTGCTGTTTTAAATGAGGCACCAAATGCTACTTGGCACATTTACACCCTGAATTCTGCTTGCTGGCCTTTGCCCTGTTGAGTTTAAAATATGATTTCGATAGTCAATTATTATCTGAAACGAAAAGAAATCAAACCTGTCCTGGGCAAACAACCTTCCTAGGAATGAGTATTAGTTTGTGAAAGTGTGTTCCTGACTCCCTCAGCAGTTTCCTGTCTTTGCCTCTTTCCCACGTCTCAGCTAACACCTGAAACGGGAAAGGAAACGAGGTGCTCTGAAGCTGAGCCTTCTCCTATCCGCTCACTTTAAATATCTCCTCTCGTCTAATGTTTTTCACAGTCTATTCAAGGGGAACATTTGTGAGGCATTTAGCTCGGGTTCCCTCTGCTTCACTGCCTGTCCAACCACGGTTTGTTTCTCTGGTCAGTCTGTCTCCTCTGACTTGGTTCTAACCTGCTGGATTGTTTTCCCAATATTCCCCATCTCCCATTCCCTTTGTTTTCCGCCTCTGATTTCATATTCCTGGCATTGCCTGCCCTGTTTGCTCCATTTTTGAATTCCACAGCACTTGTGGCCTGCGTACTCTCTGCAGAGTAAATTGAGAGCCCAAGGAGGGCGGGCAAAAAGGACACAGCAGCAGTTCAGCTACCTTTAACCAGGGTTTCCCTCCAATTTGTTTTTCCGTTTTGAAACTGCAGGTGGGAAGAGAGCAGGTTTTGGCAAAGACATAGACCCAAGCCATCCTTTTGAGGTTCCCTCCCCTCCCCTACCCCCCGCTTTTTCTGGTCATTTTGTTAAGTCCCCCTAAAAAGGCGCGGGAGCGGGGGTCATTTCCTTTCACTCTATTTCCTTTTGTGATTTCAAGGATTCC